TTATATGTTAGTGTCTGTTTTTATTACATATATGAAAACAAGTGCTCATTAAGTCAATTGATAAATTGTGTGCACATGATTGGAATCCTAAATATTGAAAAACATCTCCTAGATAAGAAGAATTTAACATCACAACTATTTATATTGGTAAAAAAGAAAGAAAACTTATGATTTTTGCTGCACCACAGCACTGGGCCCCAAGTCACTTATGTATTAACTGACTATAGTTATTCTGTAGAGAATGATGTTTTAGATACAGCTATATTCTCAGATCAGCAAACCTAAAGCGCATTGATCCTATAGAGTAAGTGGACAGTAATACTGAAATTACATGTTTATTCTTCTACACTTGTAATAATTGTTTTGTTATGATTATAATTTCTCTGTCATTTCATTCCCCTTCTCAGTTCTTTTATAAGGACTAAAGTCTGAAAAGGTTGATTGGGTTTGGAGTTGGGGCACTAATTGTGACAGATAGTTTGAGGGTAGTTGCCAGTTCAGTGATTGGAAGTAGAAGTTATCTCATATAAACTTTAAAAATTGTAGAGATCTAGGACTAAGTTTTACAGCCTCATAATCAATTTCTAAGGGCAAAAAATCAAAAGCTAGAGTGCACTTAAAAGGAGTTTAATACATTGTCTTGAAAGATTTCTATCTTATATAAAGAACTCCTAGGAATTGGAAATACATATTAAGGAAGTGTCTTCATTTGACTTATTTTCTATAAAAGAACAGACAAATACAATCTCTAATCATGCCTCAGAAAACCAAAACCAGAATTCAAGAATTTTTCTAAATAAAGTATATTGGTGAGTTATTAAACATTTGTGATTTTTGAGACTTTGCATTTAACATGAGATTTTCTTGAGATTTTTTAGTTGTTGACCCTTCCTTCAAATTGTTTAGGTATTTAATTTCTTTAATCTTTTTTTTTTTTTTTAAGATTTAGTTATTTGAAAGGCAGAGTTACAGACAGAAAGTTCTTCCATCTGCCTGTTCACTCCCCAAATCGCTGCAACAGCCCCTTCGAAGCCAGAAGCTTTTCCAGATCTGCCACATGGGTGCAAGGGCCCAAGCACCTGGGCCATCTTCCTCTGCTTTCCCAGGCCTTAAGCAGAGAGCTAGATCAGAAGAGGAACAGCCAAGTACATGATCTGGTGTCCATATGGGATGCCGGCGCTACAGGTGGGTTAGGGTTAGGGTTATGCCACAGTGCTGGCCCCCTCTTAAGTCTTTAACAGGCTACCTATATTACTTTAGGGCTTGAGTCTCCTCTTTTTTGATCCATGTTTTTAAAACAAAAACAACGACAACAAAAAAACTGGGGCTGGTGTTACAGTGTAGTGGGCTAAACTCTACCTGTGGCGCCAGCATCCCATATGGGTGCCCATTCTAGTCCTAGCTGCCCTTCTCCTGAGCCAGCTCTCTGCTTATGGCCTGGGAAAGCAGTGAAGATGGTCCAGGTGTTTGGGCCCCTGTGCCCCTGTGGGAAACCTGGAAGAAGTTCCTGGCTTCAGATCTGCCGAGCTATGGCCATTGGCAGCCATTTGGGGAATAAACCAGCGGATGGAAGATCTTTCTATCTTCCCTTCTCTCTGTTGGTAAATCTACCTTTCAAATAAATAAATAAAAATATTCTTAAAAAATCCTTTTTATTGTTTCGTTTTGGTGCTTTAAAAGCCTTTCTAGAATTTGTATTTTTGATACGCTTTTTCTTCCTTGTTTGGTCAGGCTGTTTGCCTCTTTCTCTCATCTTTTTTTTTTTTTTTTTTTTTTTTTTTTTTTTTTTTTTGACAGGCAGAGTGGACAGTGAGAGAGAGGGACAGAGAGAAAGGTCTTCCTTTTTTGCCGTTGGTTCACCCTCCAATGGCCGCCGCGGCTGCGCTCTGCGACCGGCGCACCGCGCTGATCCTATGGCAGGAGCCAGGAGCCAGGTGCTTTTCCTGGTCTCCCATGGGGTGCAGGGCCCAAGCACCTGGGCCATCCTCCACTGCACTCCCTGGCTACAGCAGAGAGCTGGCCTGGAAGAGGGGCAACCGGGACTAGAACCCGGTGTGCCGGCGCCACTAGGCGGAGGATTAGTCTAGTGAGCCACGGCGCCGGCCTCTCTCATCTTTTAAAATGTCTAGAAATTACAGTGGTCATTGAAGCCTCATTCTAAAACAGAACTGAACTGATAGTTTTTATCCTTTTTAGTTTGTTCCATGATGCTACCTTTTATATCTTAGTTTTCTTGTCTATAAAGCATTGCCCTGCACATTGTAAGTTCTCAAATTTTAGCTGTTGTTGCTACCATCATTGTTCTGGACTGGATGTTTGTGTCTCCCCTCTGCCCCCCTGCCAAACGAATATATTGAAATCCTAACTTCTAATGTGGTGGCATTTGGAGATGTAGTGTTGTAGTTTAGATGTCCCCCAAATGTCCAAGTGTTAAAGGCTTGAGCCCCAAATTCTTTTAAATTTTTTAAAAAATTTATCTATTTATTTGAAGAGAAGAGTTAGGCAGAGAAAGAGACCTTCCATCTGCCAGTTCACTTCCCAATGGCCACAATGGCTGAATAGGACAGGGTGAGGTGAAACCAGTAGCCTAGAAATACATCCACTGTTCTCCCATGTGGGTGGCAGGGATCGAAGCATTTAGACAATCTTCCATTGCTTTCCCAGGTGTACTAGCAGGAATCTGGGTCAAAAGTGAAGCAGCCGGGACTAGAATAAACACTAATGGGCTGCCAGAGTCCCAAGTGTTACAGGAAGTGACATGACATACTGCACCTAATGTCTTTCCTCTAAAAGATATAGTAGTCGGGCTGGCGCTGTTGCCTCTCTCTGCCTCTCCCTCTCTCTATGGGTAACTCTGACTTTCAAATAAATGAATAAATCTTAAAAAAAAAAAAAGACATAGTAGTCTGTAAGGTTTGTTGAATATTATAATAAAGAACTTAGGTAACATAACAGGTTCCCAATTGAAACTTAAGCATTGAATATTTTGCTCTTGATACATCTTGTCATTCACTAGATAGTCTTGTAAAAAGATGAGTTAGGTAAGTAAAAAGAGAGGTAAGAATAAGCAATATTGATGTAGAAAACAAGCTTTGTATCTTTTATTTTACTATGTATAATGTTCAGTTGACCTTTGTATTCCTTCCCTCCTTTGATTAAACTTGCAGATTCAGTGTGGAAGATCATAAGGCCATTTTAAGTGTGTGATCTTTGATCTTGAAGCCATCTAAAAGTGAGCTGTTCAGAACACATCTGTCTGTGGGGTCACTTACACTGTGCATGTCAGCTTGTAGAGCTGATGCTGCTTTGGCTTTTAGGCATCTTATGAGCTGTTGTTTTTGTTTTTTGTTTGTTTGTTTTTGTTTTTTTGACAGGCAGAGTGGACAGTGAGAGAGACAAAGAAAAAGGTCTTCCTTTACTGTTGGTTCACCCTCCAATGGCCGCTGCTGCCGGCGCACTGCACTGATCTGATGGCAGGAGCCAGGTGCTTCTCCTGGTCTCCCATGCGGGTGCAGGGCCCAAGCACTTGAGCCATCCTCCACTGCACTCCTGGGCCACAGCAGAGAGCTGGCCTGGAAGAGGGGCAACCAGGACAGAATCCGTTGCCCCGACTGGGACTAGAACCCAGTGTGCCAGCGCCGCAGGCGGAGGATTAGCCTATAAACTGCGGCGCCAGCCTTCTTATAAATTGTTTTAACATTTTCATTGATACCATCATTTACTAGTTGCTTGATTTTGGGCAAATTATTTAATGCCCTCATTTGAGATAGTTGATATTGAGGGTACCTAGCTTATAGCTTTACTTTAATGACCATCAGGCTTAAAACGTACTTGATACATAACAGACACTATTTAAAGTGTTAGTTGTTTCCATAGGTAGTACTTTGTAAATGAGGAAAGGAGGGGTTAAATGAATGATATGAGTTCAGAAAAGCCACATTCAGTTTTCCTGATTTTAACATCCTTGAATGTTTTCAGTCTTAGAGGAAAATTTTCAGCTTTTCACCCTAGGTATGATATTAGCTATGGGTTTATCGTGTATGACCTTTACTACATTGAGGCTGTTTCTGTTCCTATTTTGTTGAGTATTTTTAATAAATGAAATGGTGTTAAGTTTTCCAGATGATTTTTCTGTGTCATTAAAGAGGATTATTTTTTGTTTAGATTATTAATGTAGCCTATTAGATTGATTCTCATACGTTGAACTATCCTTGTCCCATCTCCTGCCTTTTAAGTGTGTGTGTGTGTGTGTGTGTGTTTTGACAGGCAGAGTGGACGGTGAGAGACAGAGAGAAAGGTCTTCCTTTTTTGCCGTTGGTTCACCCTCCAATGGCCGCCGCGGCCGGCGCGCTGCGGCCGGCGCACAGCGCTGATCCGATGGCACGAGCCAGGTACTTCTCCTGGTCTCCCATGGGGCAAGTACTGGGGCCATCCTCCATCCTCCACTGCACTCTCTGGCCACAGCAGAGAGCTGGCCTGGAAGAGGGGCAACCGGGACAGAATCCGGTGCCCCGACCGGGACTAGAACCCGGTGTGCCGGTGCCGCAAGGCGGAGGATTAGCCTAGTGAGCCACGGCACCAGAGTAAGTGTGTTTTATCTGAGTAAGACCAAGTGCAGTTGTTGTGTGTTGTCTGTAGCTGGTTTAACATTACAGAGATAGAAATAAGTACAATGTGGTTTGCAAAGCCGAAAATATTGACTTATTTACAACTAAAACATGTTTCTGAGCCTCTGCTTCTATAATCCTCAGTATAAACATAGTGTGTAAGTAGGACATATGGAGTAATCTGTACTAATTAACATTCAGGTAATTGTTTTTTTTTTTAATAAAGGTACGGTTTATTTCCTTGTCATAGAAATTCATAGGAAGTAGTTTGTTAAATTAATCTAAGAAAAATGTTAAATGATGAATTTATTAATGTCTTATTCAGCATTGTATTTTTATTTTGAAATATCCCATCCCTGTGTTACTTACAGATTTTTATTTTTTTCCCCATAGGTATATGTGGAATTTGATGATCTTGAATGGGATAAACGAGAGTGGGTTAAAGTTTATGAAGATTTTTCAACTTTCTTGGTGGAATACCACTTAATCTGGGCCAAAAGGAATGACCCTAGTCAGACTCAGGGATCAAAGAGCAAACAGATTCAGTGGCCTGCATTGGTAAGATCTGTTTTTGGTTTTTTTAATTATTTTCAGTTATTTTAAAAGGACAAAAATTGAATCTAAGTTTAGATTTATATTGCAGATTGTGAATTAGTATTCCTGACATCTGTGAAGTATCTGGCAGAATTTTCAAAACACTTTTCAAGCAGCTTTATGTGACTGTTAGTATTCTTTCAACATACGTGGTCCACAGTTTTTTCTGTCCAATCAGATGAAAGCATAAATTGGATTAAAGATTGCTAGGAGATGGTTGACTAGTTTCTATGCAATGTGGAGTAGCTTTGCTGTGAATGGAACTTACGTATTCAGTAACACATCTTTTTGGTTTGTTAGTGAATCTTTGTGGATGACAACAGCTGTTAAATATGTAATTACGTATTCAGGTAATGAATAAAGTTACTTCATATCAAATTTTCCACTTAAGAAAATATAGATTTGAATAAATTCTTGGTAATTTTGAAGAGTTTTATAAAAGAAAAATACCGACTTAAAATATCATTAAATTATGGTAGAGAGCCACAATGCATTTCTGTATATAGAATATCAGTTTAATATATTTATTTCTGTGTCTTTAAATAAAATACCTGGGGAGGTACATAATTTAAAACAACAGGGAGAGGGGGAATGGAGTGACTTGAACCATGGCATGTTTTCTTTAATAGAAAACAATTTTTTTTTTTTTTTTTTTTTGGCAGGCAGAGTGGACAGTGAGAGAGAGAGACAGAGAGAAAGGTCTTCCTTTTGCAGTTGGTTCACCCTCCAATGGCCGCCGCGGCTGGGGCGCTGCGGCCGGCGCATCACGCTGATCCGAAGCCAGGAGCCAGGTGCTTCTCCTGGTCTCCCATGGGGTGCAGGGCCCAAGCACTTGGGCCATCCTCCACTGCACTCCCGGGCCACAGCAGAGAGCTGGCCTGGAAGAGGGGCAACCGGGACAGAATCCGGTGTCCTGACCGGGACTAGAACTTGGTGTGCCGGTGCTGCAAGGCAGAGGATTAGCCTAGTGAGCCGCAGCGCCGGCTTAGAAAACAAAATATTAAAGAAGAAAATGATACCAGGAGCTATAGACTTGACAGGAATCTTTGGATAGAAAAATTAAGTTGATGTTTTATCTGTCCATGATAAGCTTTACAAAATAGTCATTGAGTATGTGGAATTTTTAGTAGAAAAGATTTTAAACTGTTAAGAGCATGGTTTTTTATTTTACAGATCTTAACCTGAAAACTTGGGTAAAACTTATAATATGTATGTATGAAAAGTCTCAAAAGTAGAAAGAATTCTTGCTCCAGTTTCATAGTTAAAGAATAAACAGGGCTTGAAAATATTTACCCTTTTTGGAATTAAGATATTGATGAATTCCTGGTTTATATCAATAAATTGTTCATTTCAGAGAATATTTAAGGAAATACTGTTTAATAATTTTTGCCATAATTTTAGGAAGCTATTTCTCTTGACAGCCATTCAGATTCAAAATTCAGACTTTTTAATTACTAACCTTCTTTATTAAATTCAACATTTTTATATAAAAAAGTGTATACACAATGAATAATTTGGAAAATACTAAGTGGCATAAAGTAGAAAATCATCATTTTAGCTCCATCACTAGCAGTAGACACCTTAATTCTTGTATGTGGTATATAAAATTTATCTGACTTTTTTCCTGCTTGTAGAAGTTTCTAAAATTTTAAATTTTGATAAAATATACTTAATGTAAAATTTGCCAAAGTAACCATTTTTAAATAATATAGTTCAGTGACATTAAGTGCATTCTTATACAGCTGTCACCGCTGTTCATCTACAGAACTTTATCCACCTTGCAAAACCAAAATTCTACCCACTGAGCAATAGTTCTCAGCCTCCTCCTCTCCCTGGTAACCACCATTCTACTTTCTTTCTATAAATTTAACCATTCTGAGTGCTTTATGTAAGTAGAATCATGCAGAATTTGTCTCTTTGTAACTGGCTTGCTTCACTTAGCTTTATGCATGTTGTAGCATGTGCCAGAATTTCCTTTTTTTTTTTTTTTTTTTGGTAGAGTTTCCTTCCTTTTTAAGGTTATTACTCCATTGTGTGTATATATTACATTTTGTTTGAGTTGCATCTACCTTTTGGCTATTGTGAATAATGCTGCTGTTAGTATGACTATGTAAATATCTTCAAGTCTGTGCTTTCAGTTCTTATGGTTACATACCCAGAAATGGAATTACTAGATTGTATATGATAAATCTATTTTAAAATATTTGAGATAATACGATACCATTTTCCATAGTGGATCTATCATACTACATTCCTGCTGGCAGTATAGAAGGTTGCAGTTTGTCCCCATCCTTGGCAACACCTAATTTCTGTTTTTTGTTTGTTGGTTCATTGGTTTTTTTGGTTTGGGAGGTGAGGTGGTAGTAACTGTCCTATGAGGTATGAAATGGAATCTTACTGTGGTTTTGATTCTTATTTCTCTAGTGAATGCGATAGTAAACATCGTTCATATGCTTATTTGTCCGTTGGTGTGTTTTCTTTGCAGAAATATCTGTTCATGTTCTTTGTCCATTTTTCAAACTGGTTGTTTAGTTTTTAGTTGTTAAGCGCCCCCCACCGTCCTTTTTTTTTTTTTTTTCTTTCCTCTATGCCGACAGAGTGGACAGTGAGAGAGAGAGACAGAGAGAAAGGTCTTCCTTTGCCATTGGTTCACCCTCCAATGGCCGCCGCGGCCGGCACACCTCGCTGATCTGATGGCAGGAGCCAGGAGCCAGGTGCTTTTCCTGGTCTCCCATGGGGTGCAGGGCCCAAGCACCTGGGCCATCCTCCACTGCACTCCCTGGCTACAGCAGAGAGCTGGCCTGGAAGAGGGGCAACCTGGACAGAATCCGGCGCCCCGACCGGGACTAGAACCCGGTGTGCCGGCGCCGCTAGGTGGAGGATTAGCCTAGTGAGCCGCGGCGCCGGCTAGTTGTTAAGTTTTAAGAGTTCTCTATTCTAGGTATCAATCCTTTACCACATATGTAATTTGATAACTTTGCCTGTTTCATAGCTTGTATTTTTATTCTGTCCATGGTGTCCTTTGATGCACCAAAAACAAAACAAAACAAAACAAAACCACTTAATTCTGATGGAATCAAACAAATCTAGTTTTTACTCTTGCCTGTGTCTTTGTCATGGTATCCAAAAAGCAATTGTCGTATCCAGTATCATGGAGCATTCTCCCCGTGTTTTCTTTTAAAGCTGTAGGTCATGCATTTTGAGTGCTTTATTCATTATTTTTTCTTGTATTCATTTTGAGTTTTTATATATGATGTAAGAGTCCAGCTTCATTTCTTTTCTTTTTTTTTTTTCCTTGTTGATATCCATTTCCTCTGGTACTGTCTGTTGAAAGTATTGTCCTTGCCCCCAGTGAATGGTTTTGGTATGTGAGGGTTTGTTTCTGGATCTCTAACCTGTTCTACTAGTTTATGTGTCTGGGGGTCCCCCCCCCCAATACTATACTCTGAATACTGTTGCTTTGTAATAAGATTTGAAATCAGAAAGTGTTTGTCCTAAAAATTTGTTCTTTTTCTAGATTGATTGGCTCTGCAGGATCCCTTGATATTCCATGTCAATTTAAGAAGGAGGTTTCCAGCTGATTTCATTTAGAACTTGATAGGGATTGTGTTCAATCCATAGATAGCTTTGGGCATTGAGTGTCTTAATAGTACTAAGTCTTCTAATCCTTGAATATGGGATATCTTTGCATTCATTTATGTTCATTTGGACTCAAAATTTTATAATTTTCAGTGCATAAATCTTTCATTTCTGTGATTAAGTTAATTTCTTAGTAACTTATTCTTTGGTAGATTAGTTTTTGTTGATTTCATTTTAGACTGTTATTAGCGAATGGAAATTAGTCTGATTTTTGCATGCTGATTTTGTATCCAGTTACTCAGCTACTAACATCATGATCTGTGGTGAAAGACTGAAAGTTTTTCCTGTAATTTAAGGAACAAAGCAAGGATGCTCATTTTTGCTAGTGTAGTATACACTGTATATACAGTGTAGTATTGGAAATCTTTGTCAGAAAATAACATGAGAAAAAGACCTGGAAGACATCTAAATCTCAAAGAAAGAAGTAAATTATCTCCATTCCCTGATACTAAAATGTAGAAAACATTGAAGATTCCATAGTAAAACCTGTTAAAACTAATAAAGTAGCAGGTTGTAAAATCTACTTTTAAAGAAAATACTTTTAGCTAAGACTGCATTAAAATTGTAGATCCTGCTGTTTTTTACGTAAGACTTTATCTTAAACATATTCTTCATGACTAAATAAGATAATTCTTAATGGCTGCATAATATTTAATTTTATAACTATCCATTTCCCTAATGTATAGAATTACAGTTTTTTCCAATTAGTGGGGTTAGGGGGAGGTTATATTTAACTGGGATTAATACTATGCTATGTAAATTTCTCTGCATCTCTGATTATTTTTTGAACTTAGATATACCTAGTAGTAGAATTACTGGTTAAAGGGTATGAACTTGAAAACCACAAAAATCTAAGTCATATTCTCCACTAATTGTTTAAATGTTACACTGACTACCATTGTTCTCAGCCAGTGTATAAGTGTTTTTTTTTTAATCTCACCACATTTTTGGAAGCATTTATTTATTTTCCCCACATCTTATTTTAAAACCCAAACAAACATAAAATCAAGAGTTATTTTTTATCTTAAAGGAATGTAGCATTGAATGTTATCATTTCTGCCTTTGCTAATTGGGTATTTAAAATATTTTTCATTGTTTTAATTCACATTCCTTTAGTAAACTGAATATTTTTTCATGTTTATTAGTAGCTTGTATTTTTTGTGAATTGTTATTCAATATTTGCTAGGGTTTTGTATATCATATTTGTTATGAGATTTCTTTATATTAATAGATTTTATAACATTTTCATCATGTTTGTTTCATAGTTTGCCCAGCTAATTGATAGCAGGTCTTTTTGAATTGTAAGTCTGCTTTTTAAAGAAAGTTCTATATAATGAAGTATCTTGATTAGGCTAGCCAAGATGTGCCTGATGGCCTGCCTACTCTCTTTCCCTCCCTCCCTCCCTCACTTTTTCTTCCTTGTTTCCTTCCTTCCTTTGTTGAAGAAGGTTGTAAAAAATAATAGAAAAAAGTGAAGTGAGAATGCTTGTCATATTTAATAATCAATTGAAGTTTCATAAGCATTTTACAAACATGACTGAGTTTCTGTTGTTTCCCTTTCTGTTCATAAAAGTGACACTTCTTTAAGAATGCCTATAAGCAGCAGTAATGAAATTCTGAATTTTTAAATTCCTGTAACAAAATGAAATACGTTTTCTGTAAATCTGAGAAATTTTGAGGAATCTGTACGTTAGATGGCTATATACTGAAACACGAATACTTTGATTTTTTAAAAATTTAATGTTTCTAATTCTGTGCACATAATAGCATTCTGTGTGTTTTTTTGTACTTAAACATATGTTTGTATTTATTACCCTTTTCCTAGTTTGACTCCTCGTGTGGTACCTGTTAACTATTACATATTAGTTATGTTATTTTGTCTACCTTTTATTTCTAGCAGTCAGTGCAAACTGGCAGTGTACCTGCTCGTTCTTGAAATCATGGCAGGATAAAAAATTCTTTTGTCTCATTAGCCTATTCTAAAGTTTAATTTTAAAATTTAGAAGTAATTACATCTTCAACAAAATATATATAGTATAATACCCAGGTTATTTCTCTGGAACTGTGTACATAATTGTTGAGCACCACATATAACATACTGTAGTGGTGTCAGTTTTTTTCTTGGTCCTGTATTATCAGGGTACCACGTGAGGCAATTCTAACGATGTAGGCTGATGTTGTTAAATCTCATTTACTTTTTAATAAAGTAAATTACTTGTGAAAGCATATTTATCTGCACCAGGGAAAGAAAGTGTTGACATTCATAATTGAAATCAACGAATCAGCCACCTAACTGGGTTAGGGCCCTGGCTCCATCTCCTTTAGGAAAACCTTCTGTGGGGAGTGGGGCTTCGACCCTAACCCAGCTGGGCTGTAATACTGCTGCATTTTCTAAGGGACAGAATTTTCTACTTTTCTGCTGGCCCAGCCTTCCAGATCACCCCAACCAGAATTAATCTCACCATCCTGTGGTCCTATAGAACTTTGTACCTCTGTTTTTAACAACTTAGCATATTCTGCTTTGTATTATACCTGTTTGCTTGTGTGTCTTTCCTCTACTAGATTGTAAGTTCTTTGAGGACAGGGACAACTTAGTTATCTTTGAATGGTTCCTACGAGTCCAGCACAATGCCTTACCCATCTTAGAAAATAAATGCTTATTTTAAAGTGATGAATGAACTATATCACAGCTATTGAAACCCTAATGAGAGTTACAGCAAGTTTCCTGGTTATCCATTTATGCTAAGATCAGAGGGCAGGACAGCAAACTCAGCCTGTTGTGGTTAAACTGTGTGACTCCAGTTTTAAACATGACAATATAGTAGAAAACAAATACTAAAAGAGTTTATAAAGTCCTCATTCTAAATAAAATACAAATTTGGTTCCTTACGTGGTTAGTGGGGAAATGTGAAATTGCTTGAAATGGGTTATTAAAAACATGAAAAGAAGGAATAGATGTTCTGAAGAGTCAAGCAGATTTTTTTTTTTTTTTTGACAAGCAGAGTGGACAATGAGAGAGAGAGACAGAGAGGAAGGTCTTCCTTTGCCGTTGGTTCACCCTCCAATGGCCGCCGTGGCCGGCGCGCTGCGGCCAGCGCACCACACTGATCCAATGGCAGGATCCAGGTACTTATCCTGGTCTCCCATGGGGTGTAGGGCCCAAGCACTTGGGCCATCCTCCACTGCACTCCCTGGCCACAGCAGAGAGCTGGCCTGGAAGAGGGGCAACCGGGACAGAATCCAGAGCCCCGACCGGGACTAGAACCCGGTGTGCCGGCGCTGCAAGGCGGAGGATTAGCCTAGTGAGCTACAGTGCCGGCGAGTCAACCAGATTTGATAATTTACCTGAATTTCTGGAGTGATTTTTAAGAAATTCAGACTACTTCCCAGTATAACTTTGCCTTCACAGACAAGATAATTTCGGTTTGTCAAGAATTACGTTCATTTGTGAGGGTTTATTAATTTCTTTTAGATTTTTTTCCTATTGAGACATTTTTTTCTGTTGCAAAAGAAATCCTCTAAAGGGGGGAATATAGTTTATTGCTCTTTGGAATAAGATTGCTGTTATGCTGACGGCAATATTGTATTGCCAAAATTGGTTTAAATTACAGCCTCAGTAAAATTTTACAAAAATACAAAGATATGCTAAATTTCAAATTAGAAATGATTTCTGAAATAGAGATTTCAAAAGATTTTATGTGCCATTAATTATTTCTGGTATTACACAATCCTTTTACTTTAATAGACTAATTTGAAACCTTCAGGATTATTACTTCCCTGCGAGGTATTTTCAAGAAAGCAAAATACATATAATGAAGTATTATTCTTTCTAGATGACAAAATCATAATGACAAGTGTTGTGATGGATGAGTACATAAATTTCTGTGGGTCATAAAATGACATTATTTGGGGGGAAATAATTATATTGTAAGAACCGTAAAGAAGTTCATACTCTTTAATTCAGTAATTCTACTCTTAGGAAATTATCCTTTAAAAATCATTATTTTAAAAAGGGATTCATTGCAGGAAAGAAAAAGAAAACAACTTGCATGTCCATCAGTTTGTGAACATTGTTAAATTGGTGTTTTGGAATATTATGCAGCTTTAAATATGTTAATTAGGTATACTTGGGAAAATAGAAATTTTAAAAACAGAATTATATTAGAAATTTGAAATAATGAAAGGCAGTTTTGAAGGAATTTTACTTGACCAAAATTTGTCTTTTCGGTGAAAAGAAACTATTTCCAAGCAAACTGAGAATTTTGGTTTAATAATGTTGTCTGACATTGTTTATTTTGGAAATAGTTTTCCTCAAATTTGTTAGTGGATTTTCTTTAGGTTTCTGTTTATATTTTCATGTTTTTATTTTTGTATTTTGATAATATAGTATTTTTAGTATTTTTTTAGTATTTATTTAGTATTATTTCCTAAGACAAGTATAATACAAAGAAGTAAAACTTTACAATAACAATGTCAATTTATGATGTAAAATATAATGAAGATTTAAAAATTTTTTAAGTCTATCTGAATTACTTGTTTGCTTTCAGCTGTGCATGGCTTAATGTATGCTTAGCGATGTTTTAGTCATAGAATCAGAGAATGTTGGAGTTGAAAAGAAAGCACTCATTTAGGATTACATTGGAGTATATTAAAAACAAGCCTCATGTCAGATTTCTGTTATTAACTGTTATTCTGTTATTAACTGTTATTATTGGGTGAAATTAACAGAGTTATGAAGATAAAGCAAGAAAATATAAATAAAAACCTCAAATGAGTTCAGGCAGGGATATGCTATTGTAAGGATAATTTCATAAGACCATCCTTATTTCTGGCACAAATTTCAAGTCTGAAGAGTTTTCCAAACTACCTGCAAGTTTGACAGTTCACTAGAAGGCCTCAGATTGCATAGGAAGCTGTTACACTCATGCCTACAGTTTATTGCAGAGCACATATACAAATTAAAATTAGCTAAGGGAAGAGATGCATACAGTACAGTCTAGGAGTGATCCAAATTGATACTTTTTGTCATTCTTTCCCTTTGGACTTATGGGCAGCATTACTTGCTTCTGTTCACAATATATATGTATTTTCATCTGGCAAAACTCAGCTGAGCTTTTGCTAGCTGCAAATAATTTTTTATTGGGACTTAATCACATACCATCTGCACTGCTTACCTCTTCGCTGTTCTTGCTTAAGATCAAAATTCAGAAGCACTTCTTTTGAATTTGAAACAGCAACTAAGAGCTCCAAAACTACCATTTTAAATTGTTCAGAGTATTCAGGGGCCAAAGCCCTTGGGCAAATAGAGACGTTCTTATTAAGCAGGACATTCCAGAGGCCTAGAGATCTCCAGTTATGTGTCTGGACATCTACATACTTAAGAATAGTATTTATATGACCATCAGGAATAGTACCAGTGTAAATACAGTTGTCCCTTGGTATCCACAGATAATAGCTTCCTGGACTCCTGTGGCTACCAAAATCCTACTGTTCCCAATCTCTTGTTGAAAATGATGTAGTATTTTCATACAACCTATGCATACCCTCCTGTATACTTCAAAACATTTATGAATTACCTGTTATATCTAGGGTAACTTAAGTGTTATAAATACTTGTTATACTGTATTGTTTAGGCAATAATGACAAGAAAAAAATCTGTAAATGTTCAGTATACATGCAATATCATTTTTCACTGAATATTTTCAGTCTGAACCCACAGTTGCAGAACACACAGATAGGGAGGGTTGACTGTATACCTAGCATTTAGACATATGATCCAGTGTGGATGGAAAAGGGATGAACTGTAGGGAAACAGCTAATTTTACTCAAGACAAGCCATTGCATGCATTTCCATTTTTTTGTACTATTTGCTGATTTCCTTCCTTGATCTACTTCTGTTTACACCTCATGATAAACTTATACAGAATTAGCTGATAGTTGGCTAATATTTCCTTAGATTATTCTTTAAGTATTGTATCTCAAGGAGGCTTTAACTAAATCTCCTGACATATTTGATTGTCAGTGTCAATATTATTATCAGACTTTAATAAGGTGATTCACTCTCACTGACAGTGTTTGTGTTATGCCCTATTGTTTATAGTTGTTGTATAATTGGGTTTAATTACAGAACAAATCAGAAAGAATTGCAGAGGAATTTACTATACCTCCTCAACAAAAATGACCCATGCCTATATAGTGTATATTGTTACTGATGCTCATAGTTGTGACTCTTGTTCCATTACTTCCTTGGTTCCAGATTAGTTTGGAACAACCAGTCACCCTCAGATCTTAGGAGTAGTGAGGACTACTGTCTAATAGGTTCTACGTGCTCATAAATATGATCTGTTCTCTTGGTAATATGTTCCTGCAGAAACCAACCTCATTTTGTTATGAAACTCTTCTGGGTACTCCCCATTAGAATGTAGAACGTGTTTCCAGTATTATGCAGGATAGTACACATATTTCTGGATATTTTATATCCTTTGATTATTGCGGCTGTGTCAGTTCCTGATGATAAACTAATTTTCCTTCAAATGGAAATTTTCTGGTTCAAAATCTTGGTGGTGGCTGCTGGTAGATGATTATAGGCTTCTGCTATAAGCTTCAGTCTGAATTCCACACAGGCCACTGTACGAGAATTTGTCTTGCATTTTGTGAAATTTGAAATTAACTTATTTGAGCATGGATATTTTTCTTGGTTCCCATTTTTCAGGTCCAATCAGTATTGTCTGAAAGGAAGATTTATATACATTCTGTTTTACTAAGTAGGGGAAACATTCTTCAGTCAGGTGTAATTCAGGTAAAGTAGATAAAACTGCTTTAACTAAAGTTTGTTTGCACATTCTGCTTTTCATCCAAACTTTTATCTTAGATCTACAAACTCATGTTCTTGTGTCATCCCAATCTAACTTAGGAATTAACAACTAGATTTCTAACTTCTGTGCATAGAGTTCCCATGGTAAGGAGTCCCAGAAACATCTTTAGTGCTATTTTTAACAACTTAGACGCATTTGACCTTGAATCCTTAGTTGGGCATTGGCAGAATACCTACTTTAGGTCTTAATTGATTAGATATGGGAACATCAGCTTGGGCAAGTTGAGGTTAGATGTATCTCATAGTTATCTTTATCTTCAAGGTTTTTTGTTTTTGTTTTTAAGATTTATTTATTTGAAAGTCAGAATTACAGGGGCAGCGGGTGGGGCAGAGAGAGAGCCAGGTGGGAGCAGAGAGAGAGCGAGCGAGCATGCTCGATTGATCTGTCTTCCATCTGCTGATTCACTCCCCAAATGGCTGCAACAGCCAGAGCTGGGCCAGGCTGAAGCCAGGAGCTTCTTCTGGGTCTCCCATGTGTGTGCAGGTTTC